CCTTTCTTTCCCATTACCTCTGGTGGGTGGTGGGCTAGAAGGGAGGTTAAAGTGTTTAAGAACCATCATTAAAAATAGACATTGAAAAAAAATAAAGTTACAAATGTCATGGTGGGAAGCATGATGGCGTGCAGCCAGGCATGTTGTTGGAAAAGTCAAGAGTTCTACATCTTGACCCGAAAACAGCAGAAAGAGATTGTGTCTCAGACCGGGTAGCTTGAGCATATATGACACAAAGGCCACTTCCACAGTGACACACTTACTTCAGCAAAGCCACACCTCCTGATAGTTAAGCATTCAAACCCATGAATATGTGAGGCCATACCTATTCAAATCACTGCAATCTACTTCCAATGTAAGTGTTCATCCCCTCTAAAGAAAGCTACTTATAAATACACACTAAATGCATGAAATTGAAAATATGATATTAAAATTATTCCAGGGACTGGAGAGATGGCTTTGTAAGTAAAATGCTTGCTGTCCAAGCATGAGGACCTGAGTTGGGTCCATGTGAAAGCTGGCAGGGCATGACATATCTGTAATCCCAGAGATGGGAGACTGAAAGTCTTGCAGGAAAGCACTAGAAGGAGTGAACAGTAGTGATTTCTATAGTAAAGCCTTTATGTCTGGCTTTAAATGAAATGTAAAGTCTTTGTGTCTGGCATTAAGTGAAATGTTTCAGCAAAGCCTTTGCTATGTTTGGGTACGTTAGTAGAGGTTGAGAAATTGTTTTGAGACTGTTTGAACCTTGAAGAAGTGCTGTCTTTCTAGAGTATCTACACTTGGTGCTCTGTGAGAATTTGCAGCTGCACCAACCTTGGTCCCAAGACAGTCCTGGCAAACCTGGAGTCCTTACTTTTGATTATAGCTAGCCATGGCCAAAAGGGATGGAGATTTATATGGGTCATCTGCTCTCAGGGGCAGCAAGGGCAAGATAATTTTGGTAGTTGAAACCTTCTCCAGCCCCAGTTAACCTTGAATAATGTTTGAATTAAGTAACTGGAATGAGATAGCTGGGTGTCAGTCTTTTCCAAGAAGGCTGAACCCTTCTGCTCCTTCAGAAAATGAAGTCTTACCATCTTGAAGAGCTTCTCTCTCTACTGCAGCACCAACAACCAACATCAACCAATAGTGAACTCTATGTTCAGTAGACAGCAACTGAAACAGACAGCTGCTGTCAAGCTCTGGCTTCCACGTTTTGAAGAAAAAAAAAGAGCTCAGATAAACTGTTACGGTAAGAGAAGGAAATAAGAAGGCAATGTGGCTTCTTAGTTTTAACTCACTTGGTTTGTAGTGTGATTAACAAATGATGACTATTAAAACAAGTATTCCTAATGGTAAGGGAATGGTAAGTTTTGAAAGTTGACTAGCCATGGCTTGGGAGAGAAAAGAAAAAAGAGATAACACCTCAGAGAAACCCTTCTGAAAGGTAATCCATCCCTACCACCCCTGTAGAAATAACCTTGCCTTCCTCAGCTGTTGCCAGACATACTTCTGCCACAGTGCTTCTAATAGATGTTTCACTCAGTATCTTCTGCAAGTGGGTGAGTCTCTGAGAGTGAAGATAGTTCCTGAGGAACCAGGAGTGGGGTATTGCTGTGACAGGCCCGACCAGGCTGTTTGTTGGACAAATATGGAAGACTTTGGGACTTTGGATTAGGAAAGAAATTGAACACTTTAAACAGAGCTTACTGGGCCATCCCAGTGGAGCATGGAAAATGCTAAGAGCAATGTAAATTATGATGAGCAGGCTCAAGATATTTCAGAGGGGAAAAATATTAGTATGTGGCCTAGAGACCATTCTTGTGATACTTTAGAAAGAATGTGGCTGGTTTTTGCCCTTGTCTAAAAAAAACTGCCTGAGGCCAAATTGAAGAGTTTGGATTAATGGCATTGGCAGAGATTTCAAAACACCCTAGTATTTATTGCCTGTGTTGGGTGGTCATTAATGGTAAATTTTATGCAAATCATAATGAAAAGGAGCAAGCTGAGAAAGGAAAAATATAAAATGTAAAGTTTGAAGAACCAAGGGCACCAGGAAATGAAGTCCCAGTGCTCAGGGAGATAAATCTAAAGAAAAGCCTGACTCTTCATGGATAAAGGGAGTAATGACCTCAGGGCAAGACCCCACCCAACTCAGCTTCCAACATGTGAGAAGAAATTAAAGAAAAGTCTAAGCCGTCAAGGAGACCACCGACGAGAGAAAGCCAATATAATTGTAATTTTACAAGGGGGTCAAGTTCCAACCTCATCAGGCAACATAACCTGGCAGCTTTGGCCATATTGTTTTGTGTTTAGAGCCAAGAATAAAAGAAAGGGGCTGTGGAATCTTCCTCCACGGCTGAGGAAAGCTGCTGAGGCCAGGCGTGTGTCAGGGTTGTCCCTGCATGGAGGCCCAGAGAGTGTGTGAATCTGTGACCCGAAGATACTGGAGATGCCAGAGTTGTGTGGTGCCGACCAAGGAGGGCTGCAGACTGGGAGGGGAACCAGGCCAAGAGAGGGAAGAATGTTACAGTCAACAAAGCTGAAAGGGTTTGGAGATCTAAAGAGCACTTTGACATCTGACACAGGGAGGCAGAATTTGGAGTTCGTTCTGCTGGTTTTAAGTCTTGCTCTGGTTCAATATTTCCTCATTGTGATCCGTGTACCGTTGTATGCTGGACATATGTGATCTGCTTTTTTATTTTGATTTTGCAAGGTGTTACAGTTAAGAGATTGTCTTGAGTCTCAGAAAAGACTTCAAATTTGTACTTTTAATAGTGTTGAGATTATGAAAGACTGTGGGGACTTCTAAAGTTGGACTAAATGCACATTGCATTATGATGTGACATCAAGTCTATGGAGGACAGGTGATTGTTTGAACAAGAATGGCTCCATATGCTAATATATTTAAATTCTTAGTCACCAGGAAATGGAACTGTTTAAAAGGATTAGAAGGATTGGGAGGTGTGGCCTTGTTGAGGAAGTGTGTCAGTGGGGATGGGCAAGGCTCTTTTCTCTGCCTGTGGATCGGGGTTTAGCTCTCAGCTACTTCTCCAGCACCACCTCAGCCTGTTTCCATGCTCCCGCCATGATGATAATAATTAAACCTCTGAAACTATAAACAAAGCCCCAATTAAATGTTTTCTTTTGTAAGTGTTGTGGTGGTCATGGTATCTCTTCACAGCAACCAAGTCAGAAGGAAACTTTCGAACAAGTAGAATTTGAAGAAGTCAAGGAGTGGAACTTACATGACAGAGGTCTGGAAAGCTGAGAACAAGAAAAAAAGATGTCACTACACTTGTAAATACCAAAGTCTCTGTGGATTTTGCCAGAAGAATCTCATGGGAGAGTACTGGGCAAAGTCACCTTTTATTACAGCAGAAGCTAAGGGAGATCAAGAAATCTAGGAAGGCAGTGTTAACTCCTCTTTCACGGAGCTTGAACAATGGAAGACTGCTAGAAGAAAAAGGTTGTTATTTTTGTTTCAGAAGCAGGGTTTTTTGTAGCCCAGGTTACATGACATTGTGATATGGAGGCATCTAAGCTTACCTTGAACTCCTGATTCCTTGAACTTCTATCTCCTTAGTGTTGGAATGGGGAGCCTGGCTATCATGTCTACTGATGCTTATAAAAAATGTTTGTTTGTTTGTTTTAAGTGGGAAGGGGCTAAGTTTTAGGATGAGAGAAGGGAGTTGCTACAAATGGACCTGTTGAAGGTTTGGAGAGTAGAGAAGAGAGAGTTGAAGCCTTCCAGCTGTTATGGAGAAGGAGCAATACAACCAGTAAAAGACTGCGAGTCAGAGCTGAGGGCTGGTTGGCCCTGCCAGTGACAGTCATGAACTTCCAGGGCCCCTAGTTCAGCCTGTACACAGCGCAAAGGCTATGGATTTCATGCCACAGTTTACTCTGGTCCCTCTGTTATCTTTAAAGTAAATAATCTCTAGCTGGGTATTCCAGTGGCTTAAACATTTTGCCAGCTGATTGTGTTTTGTGTTCTACCTTGGCCCTGTCTTCTGGCCTTCATTCTCTCTCTTCTCTTTGACATGTGCTGATCATTCCACCCTTTGTCAGTTTGGGTGATTAAAGGGGGAAGGGTATGTGAATTTTTTCCTCTTCATCTCCTCACTTACAAAGGGACTCCTCGGGCTGGAGAGATAGCCCAGCTGTTAAAGAGATCTTACTGCAGCCTTTCCTGGAAAGAAAGAAAGAAAGAAAGAAAGAGAGAAAGAAAGAGAGAGAGAGAGAAAGA